GCTCAGGAGAAGGAGCATCCCGGGAAGGGATGACAAAACTCCCAGCCCTGAGCACACCGTGACCCCACCTGGTCCCTCTCAGGGTGGGGGACAGGGTGGCTGTGCAGGTGTGAGGCTGGAGGCAGCATCCTGTTCCCTGCCTGCCCCCACTGCAGCTCAGCCTGCCCTTGGGGACTGAGCCTGGAGGTGAGTTGCTCAAAGCAAATATTTGAGAGCTCTGGTTTCTGCTGGAATAATATTTACCCCGGGGTGGCGGCGGCCGGGGTCAGCTGGGAGGGCCCTGCCCCGGCACTCGCCGCTTCCTCCGCTTGTTGTTCTTGGCTGTGTGTTGTGCAAACACAGCGTCCACCCTCTCATCCCACCTCTCCCCCCGTGACCTGAGCTGAAATCCCACTGCTGTCCCTCTGCACACAGGGCCTGAACCTCACCGTGGTCCTCTGATCCTCACCTGGCTGCTCTGCCAGCCCAGTGACACTGGCAAGGAAGGGAATGAGATCAGTGGGACTTGATCTGCTCCAGACAAAGCTGTGCTGGCTGTGATCACACTGTTATCTCTTAGGTGTTATAATGGCATTGCTGACAGCCCAGTTGGGAAGGAATGGGGCTTCCAGAGCTATAAATCTTCAGCTCTCACCCAACTGAGGACTGTGCTGGCCTGGCTGTGGCTCTGTCAGACCTCCTGGCTTCTGGGAAAGAACAGTGACTTCAGACTCTTCCCTCAGCATTCCCTCTTCCTCTCTTGCTCAGAGAAGCTGTGGGTGCCCCATCCCTGGAAGTGCTCCAGGCCAGGTTGGACTGGGCTTGGAGCAGCCTGGGCTAGTGGAAGGTGTCCCTGCTCATGGCAGGGGGTGGAACAAGATGAGCTTTAGGGTCCTTTCCAACCCAAACCAGTCTGTGATTCTATAATCCTCCTAACTGTGTTAATTAGGTCTTTGGGATAGTTGAAGCTCTTCCCGTGCCTCAGTCTCTCTGGGGCTGGGACATCACTCTGGTGATGGTGCTGATGCCCAGGAGAGGTGCAGAAAGTGCCATCCCCTGCCAGCATCCCGTTATCACCACAGCACATGAAGGAGCACAGTGCTGTCAGAGCTGCCAGCTCTACTCAGAGGGATTGGGGGAGCAGAGCTCTCCTTGCCCCTGTCCTTAGAGTGCCTGGGGCTGTTTGTGCCTTTTGGTGTAGCTTTTGCCCCCACATGGTGTCTCGGTGGCTTTACTTGGGCTTTGCTTGTCTGGAGATGTGGTGGCTGACACACTTGTTCCATCCCCTGCTGGAACCAGTGGTGCTGGGGATGCCTCCTTGGGTACCACTGGACACACTGGGTTTCCATGGAAACCCACATCGATGCTTGCAGGTGCAGGGCCAAGAGGGGCTGGCACGGGGGGAACCTGCCCAAATCCCCTCCTGCTCCTTCCCTTCCCTGCCCTGGCCTATGGCAACCCCCCACCACGCAGCCAAAAGGCTCCTGCCTTTTTCCTCCTGCTAATTTGTTTATTTTAACACCCTTTTCCAGGAAGGAATGGGCTGTCAGCTAGCTAAATGCCTGAGGATCTCCCTTGACAGCTTGGAGCGTTTTTATAAACAACTTCTCAAACAAAGCAGCTAAAAGGAGCAGAGCTTTCCCCACAGAGGGGGAGGTGGCCGGGATGGCCACTCCGTGTCCAGCCTGGTGGCTCTGGCCGTTCCCAGGGACAGCCCTACGTGCTGTGCCCGGGGGGGGGACAGGCACAGGTGCTCTGGGGCCTCTGGCAGGGTGGGAGGGTTGTTCCTGGGCACAGTGCCACTGGGACCATGCCCCCCTCCACTTCTCACCCACTGCCCTGGCTGGAGTGGCTGCAAAAGCTCCTGGACCCTTGGCCAAGCCAGTGTGGCTTTGTGCTTGCAGGGTCGAGGACACACCAGTGACGATAGTCACGTCACCCTCTCGTCCCTTCCTAGTGGTGTCTTTGCCAAGTGTTGCTTGCAGAGAGGCCCCGAGCATGTCCCTGCTGCTGTGGGTGACACGGATGTCACCCCAGGGAGGAGCTGGTGGCAGCCTCGGGGCAGGCTCAGGATGGCCCTGACGAGGCAGGATGGGATTCCCAAGGCTCTTGTGGCATTCCCGAGGGTCCCAGCCTGAGCTGCTCCTGTGGGGACCCCGACTCCATCGCTGGCGGTGGGAGCGGAGCTGGTGTACCCAGGATGAACCGGCGGTTGCCATGACAACCGGATCCCATCGCTGCCAGCAGCTGGATGCTCTGACTGTGGCAGTTCCCTCCCCAAAAACTGGCCGGTCCCCCCCCAAAAACCTCCCCTGCCCCTCGGGTGTGGTGGCTGTCAGTGACACCAGAGCAGCACTGGCAGGAGTGGAGGGGCTGGGGTGGTTGTGCTGGTGCTCTGTGGCACCACAGCCTCGGCTGGGGG